GGCCACCTCAGGAACATGTTTAACGTGGAATCTGTGGAGCGGGTGGAGCTGTGCGAGAGCCTGCTCACTTGGGTACGTGGTGGGGCAGCGGGCCGGTGGAAAAACTCCGCAACCTTTCCCCGGACACCGGTGCTCGTCCCGAGGGGCGAGCGCCCGGGGCGACCTGCCGTCACATCCGGGGCTTGGGACGGGCGGAGCTGAGGAGCCGGTGCGGGCCGCGTCTACACCCGCGGCCGGATCAGGGTCAGCAGGGAGCGGCCGGGCTCAGGCAGGCTGGGCCCAGGGTCCAGGAGGAACTTGTCCAGCCTGAGATGTTGGCTGCTGTCCGAGAGGAAACCTGCCCGGTGGGGGCTAATGATGGGGTGCAGGCGACACTGTAATTAGGACTGTTTGCAGTGATGAGGCGCTGGCGCTTCGTTCCCGAGCTCCCAGCCATCCAAAGCGTCGGTTCTGCCTGGGCGCCCGGTAGAGGCACTCGGGACCCCTGGTTACGATGCTGCTCGCCTTTGTTGTAGCGTTCAGCCAGGATGGAGGGTAGCCCCTTGAGGGATGAAGCCCTACCCATTGGAAAATAATACATTGGAGAGTGGGGTAGACAAAACATGAAGAATCACCCAGAGGCAAAACATTTGAAATGCGAGATGCATTTTTTTGACTGTTGTAAACGATCCGATGGTACTTATAAAAGGAATCAAGGATAAACAAAAATTAAGCAGGGGGGATTTAGGGAATAATTAGTAGTGGAACTGAAACATTTTTTTAAAAGCAACGTGAGATTAATTTGGAATCGATAAGGGTTAAGGTTATTGAATTTTAAAGTACGTTGGATTTTTAATGTCAATAGTCATGGCTTAAACAGCCCTTTCCAATAGCTGGGTAGTTAACCTGTGTTTGTTTTTCCATACGCTGGTTGGAAGTGGATACAGAGCCATGGGATAAATCCAGTATCCCACTGAGGACATTCGTATTACTTATGGCTAAAAATTGTTAACTGCCCTTTTTAGAAGAACACGTATTACTATGACGAGTGTTATTTTTTTTTGGGGGGGAGAAAGTGGTGATTGGACCTCCTGCATGCTAAGTGAAAGCTCTACCACTAAGCTCTTCACTTCTCCTATTATTCACTTTCAAGGTAAAATGCAAATACCAAAAGGAATTCTTTTGAACAGTGTGTTGTGTTAGAGGTTCCAATCGCTGGAAGATAGTCATCTCTGTTTTGTGCGGGGACACTTCTGAGAAGTTTGAGAACTGTTGAGTTGGTTGTACTAAATGTAATAAAGGTAGACCCTAAAGATGTATGTGTGTTTGAGGTAGGATCTTACTATGTAGCCCAAATTGCCTTAAACTACATGATCTTGAATTTGTAGCAATCTTCCTGCCTCAGCTTCCTGAGTATTAGGACTATAAACTTGCATCACTACACCCAGCTTGAATTTTTTTGTAATCTTGGTATGTAATGAATCTGATTTTGTCTTTTGAAACATGAACTTTATACAATGCAGAGCTCTATGGTTTGGTTTTGTATTAGATCATTCTTGTAATGTCAGGTTGTTTGAAATAATGCATAGTTCAAGCGAAAAAAGATAAACTTTACAAGTAGAAGATGGTGATAGGTTTTATAATGTAGCTAAGCCTCAGCCACCTTTCAAATTATTATTTAAACCAGGAAGATTCTAAAAGATGGAAAATGTTTGTTTTTGGTTTGGTTGGGTTTGAGACAGGGTTTCTCTTTGTAGCCCTGGCTGTCCAAGAACTTGTAAACCAGACTGGTTTCGAACTCACAAAGATCTGCCTGCTTTTGCCTCCTGAATGCTGGGAATAAAGGCTTGTACCACCACACCACCCAGCATGAAAAAGATGGGAAAATGGTTTAAACCAGTCAGTATATATAGCAAGGATAGTGTGCTTAAAACTTACCCCTTATCTCCTCTTCCTACCCCGTGAAGCAAAATGTATCCCTGCCTGATAGGGAAAAAAAAAAAAAAAAAAAAGTGCTATTACGTCTGTCAGTCTCTTTTTAAAAGTTACTACCCTGTATATGATTGTGATGTGCACATATAGGCACAATTGCTACCATATGCATATGGAGGTCAGGAATCAACTTTTTGGAGTTGGTGACCTTCCATGTTTTTTTCAAGCAACAAACTGGGGTTGCAAGTCACCAGACTGCTGTGGTAAGCACCCTCACCTACTCACTGAGCCACTTCAATAGCTTGTTATTTTTTAACAATTATTTTTTTTTAATTTTTACTATATATGTATGTGGGTGTGTGCATACTCACTTGTATCACAGCCTTTCATGGAAGGCATTGAATAATTTAGAGGTGTCATTTCTCCTATTATTTGGGTTCTTCTTTTGTTTGAGAATTTTATATATGTATAACTGTGTTTTGATCAGATTTACTCCTCCCCTCAACTCTGTATTGCACCACTACTTGTCCTTCCCAAGTTCATATACTCTTTTTTTCTTTTTTTAACCTATTGAATACATTTAGTGTTGCCAGAATATATGTGGGTATAGGACCATTGACTGCAGCATGGATAACCTAGGGACTGCACCATGAAGAAAACAGACTGACTCTTCCTTCTCTAGAAGCTTCTCAGCAGCATGACCTCTTCTCCATTCATTCTAGAATTTTGGCTAACTTGATCTTGTGCAGATCTTTGGCATATTGCCACAGCACAGCCATTGTGGATTCTTAGGTGCACCATCCCTTTCATATCCAGAAAACACCTTTTTGCAGCAGTTCTCCATAATTTCTGGCCTTAGAGTCTTTCTGCCCCCTCTTCTGCAGTGATCTCTTGAGTCTTAGGAGGGGCAGTGATTTAGATGTCCCATTTAGGGTTGAGCACTCCACAGTTTCTTATTCTCTGCACTCTGATCAGTTGTTGAGTCTCCATATTAATTGTCCTCTACTACAGAAATAAGCTCTCTGATGAGGGTTGGGAGCTGCACTAATCAGTGAGTATAAAGATAAGTATTTGAGGGCAGTTTGATACTATGTCAATTTGGCAAAATAAAAGCAAGTTCTCTCCTAGAGTCTATGACCTACCCAGCCATTTGTTCTTGGCCCAGTTAGCAATGCAAAGCATGGATTCTGGTTTGTGAAGTGAGCCTTATATCCAACCAGAAAGCAATTGCTTACTCCCATAACACTGATGCCACTATTGCACCAGTGGACATATTTTTGCCAGTCCATTTGTCTTTGTAGCTTGCAGAGTTCACAACTGAGTAAGACTGTTGATTATTTTTCTCTTCCAGCAGATTGCATAGTACCATGCAGCACTATGAAAGCTATCCAGTAGGGATTAAGCTTCAAGGTCAATACCAGTTTATTTCTCTATGTCCTATGGCTCAAGAATGTAGTGTCTTTAGTAATAGGGTCTTACTTCCAAGTTTTGGTGGGTATCCAAGAGCAGTGACAACAGCCTATATTGTTTTACAAATCCATAGGATCCCCCATGACTAGCAGCTTAAAGAGGGGTAACCAAATTTGGCACTACCCAAGCCCAACTTCTTGAACTCTGCATGAATCATGATGAAAATATTGCACTTTCCTAGGTCTTAATTAATTTGTTGTATGATGCTGAGGATTAAACCTGGGGCCTTGTTTGTGTACTGTACAACTGAGTTATATAATTCCAGCCAGTTACCCAAGAAATTGGAACACAAGAAACAATCAAGAGGGGCTGGAGAGATAGCTTCACAGTTAAGAGCATTTGTTGCACTCACAGAGGACCCTGATTTGGTTCCTAGCACCCACACGGTGGTTCACAACCATCCAAAGCCCCAGTTCACGGGATCTGATGACCTTTGCTGACCTCCACAGGCACCAGGCATGCTTGTGGTACACATTCATACATTCAGGCAAAACAATCACACACTTATAGTCTTAAAACATATTTTAAAAGAAAGAATCCAGAATGCTATCAGATAATGACATGAAACTAATGAGAAAAGAATCATAGTTGTGGTTCACGCCTGTGAAATTCCCCAATCTTTATTCCCCAATCTTTATGTGTCCTTATTTTCATATTACTTATTTGGGAGCCTATGAAATGGAACTAGCATTTAGAATCCCTCCCATTCTGTTTTCCCTCCTTTGCCTAACTCTATCCTATGAACAAATTTGATCCTCTGATTCTAGAATAAAGACATTTCTAATGTACAAAGGTTTAAAGCCCTTGGGGGCAAAAAAAAAAAAAAAAAGTCTAAGTAGCCTCCAGCAGTGGTTCTCATACATTATCATTGATCAGCATCACCTGTAACTTTTATCAAACCAGTTTACGAGGCTGTGGGGCTAGAATTTCTAGGTCTGAGACAGGATCTGAGATTTGCATTTCTGTCATGTTCCCAGGTGATGTGTAGTTAGTAACCTCAAGACAACATATGAGAACCATTGCTCTAGAGCAGGTTTTAAACTTACTGCTGTTTGATATTTTGGACTGAATAATTGTTAGGGGCACTGGTGTGTGCATTTTAGGATATTTAATAGAAACATTGCTGTTTACAAAATAATAGCACTTACCTTGCTATTCCAGACTCTCCTAGGAAGCAAAAAAAAGAAAAAAGGCAAAAAGAAAAAACATCACTCCTGGTGTCGAACCACTTCCCTAACATTGCTGATTTCACCTGATCTCATGCTTTACTCTTCTGATGCTTTTGCAGGGGGTGGGGATGGGGCTTGGAATGTGTTCTAAGCTTCTTGAAATTACAAGAAAGGTTGTGACCTTCCAGGTAGAATTTGTGCTTTAACATAATTCAATGCAGTTATCTTTCTGTTTTACTGTATTACTATCCTGAAATGTCACAACTCAGACCTGATAGGATGATAAGTTTATTTCATAATTGAGATGAGATCCCTGTCAGTTCTGAAAGCAGAGGTGAACATTCTCAAGCTCTCCTAAGTACCTATGCACCTGAAGGGCTAAAACAGAAAACAGTTGTTTAGAAGCTCCATCTTAAAAATCAAAGTGAAAATTTAGCTGTGAGTCCTGGGGCACATACTGTGTTAAATTACTCCTTCTTTAAAATTCCTTCCTTTGGGCTGAGCATGTAGCCCAGTTTGTAGAGTGCTTGCACAAAGCCTGGGTTAGCAATGTGTAACCAGATGTGGTGGTGCATACCCATAATCTCAGAAGTCCATCTCTAATTCTCTCAATCAGGAGGTGGAAGCAGGAGAATTGAGGAGTTTAAGGTCATCTTTGTCTTTGATAGTGAGTTCCAAGCCAGACTCAAATGCATGAAACTCTGTTAAAAAAAAAAAAAAAAAAAAAAAGGAAAAGGAAAGGAAACCACTTGTTTTGTTGAGTTGTTTCTTCTGATTGACCAGGAGCAATTTTGTAACCCTGAGTAGGAATGCAACTCAATATTAGAACACTTGCCTTGCACTGACAAGACTGAGTTCCATCCCCAGCTTGAGGTAGGAGGGAGAAGAGCTTGCATTCCTTAACTTTGGCAGTACCTTAGAGGGTTCCAGATGCTAAAACTAGTGCCCAGGTACATAAGGATTATTTGATGCATTTGTTAAAATAGATTAACAGAGATTAGCTTATTTGCACAAATCTATTATCTCAGTTACTCAGGAAGCTGAGACAGAAGGATTGCAAGTTGAAAGTTGGTAGAAACTACAGAGTGAATTCAAGGCTATTAGCAAGATTCTATTTTGGAAATTTAAAAGAGGGCAGGAGAGATGGCTCACCATTTAAGAGTACTGGCTGTGCTTCTAGAGGACCCAGCTTCAATTTCCAGCACCTACATAGCAGCTTACAGCTGTCTGTAACTCCAGTTCTAAGGAGATATGATAGCCTCTGAGGGCACTGTGTGGGCAGAGTGCATAGACATACATGTGTGCAAAACACTTCCACACATAGAGATCTAAGAATTTTAAAAGAGGTAGAGATATAGATCAGTAGTATTTACCTAGCGTGTGCAAGACTCTGGGTTCAATCCTCCAGCAACATGTGCACATGTTTGAGTACACGAGCACACCCACACACCCACACATTCTTTGGGGGGGGTGGATTCTAGCTTCCTAAACACATCATACAGGGTTATGATTCATTTGGTGGAGCTAAGAAATGTTTATAAAATGAAAACTTCCAGATGACAATCATACACACCTAGTTTTGCAGACTGTTAATATTAGTAATACCCTGTAGGGGTCACCCTGAACACATCGCCAGATATACCTGGCCACACCCACTAGGACATGGGCAGGAGGACCCCTACAATTCCCCTTTTAGTCTAAAAGAGGATTAAAACTTAACAGTATTAAGTATCTATGATTAACAATCATAAAGGTGAAATACAAGAAGATACAACAATCTGCTGTCACATCCATCCTAACTGTATCTATATAACTAAAGCCTAAAGTCGTCTGAAAGAGGTGTCTAAGCCTGAACACCTCAATACCCCCAAACTTTATATGGAAAAAGGTTATATTAAAAGAAAGAGATGAGGTAAAAATATTCAGGTTATATGATAAGTTAGTAGTAAAACTAAGGATTAGAATTGATTCATTACATTCCAAAGCAGTGTTCACTGAGCATAATCAGTTGTACCAAGTGATTAAGATGTAATTTGTGATTGTCACTGTTTCATCTCTTTTTTTTTCTATGTATAAACCTACAAAAAGAGATTGCTTTTAAATGGGCCATTAATTTAGCACCTATAAAATGGAAACAGTTGTTTTTTTTTTTTTTTTTTTTAACTTACCAGTGTGAAGGCAGTTGTAAATAGAATAAAGTTTAAAATCAGACCTGAGATGATATTTATTTGTTCCATTTATGCCTTTTATTCATTTTCTGGTCCCTACCCAAACCTCATGATGTCTCACTGTATTTAAGGACTGACATTGAATTTAGAATCAATCCTCTTGCCTCAGCCTTCTTAGTAACCAGAACTAAAAGTGTATGCTACCATGCCAGGCTTATTTGCTAACTTTTTAAAAATCAAAATTCTGTATGTATTCAAGTTAGGACCTTCTTATCTCCCAGATTCTTGTCTGACTAAAAACTACTTTCTGTGAGATCCTGTGACATAAATCCCTCAGCTTCTGCTACCATAGCCATCATTACCTGAAAGACTCCTGCCCTACACAACATAGGAAGTTGTAACTATACTGTTAATAGTTCTCTCAGCACTTGGGAGTAGAGGCAGAAGAATCAGGAGCTCAAGGTCACCATGACTCCTGATAAATAATGAGTTGGAGGGCAACCTAGGCTACACGAGACCCTGACTTTTATAGATAGTATGGTACAGAGAAGCAGATATTCACCTATTTTTAGCAGCAGTTTATTGCTTCATGGTTTATTTGGCAATGTTTATTTTTAAAAAAACTTAAAAATGGGCATACATTTAACGTGGCAATTTTTTTCCTAAACCAGTAAATCAAAAAGAAATGTCACCTGAGTGTTCTGGAAGTATTTCCATTGTTGCTATCTAGTTTAGCCTCGGCAGTGTTACAGACTGCCACAGCAGGCTTATTTGCCTCCTTTCTCCCAATATTTCCTTCAGATCTCACTTTCTTGCTTGAAATCCTTTTCTTACAAACTACCATTACTCTTAAGGTAATTCCCAATGTGGCTTACTAAGGCTTGCCTAATGATGCTTCTTTCTTTAGTTCTTTCACGTATTTTATATCCCTCTGTTCCATTTCTTCCTATAATTTCCACCTATCCATACCAGGCTTCTTTTCATTCCTACAACATACCATCTTCTTGATGGAAATCTTTGTCTATACATACCACAATATTTCCACCAAATTTAAAGGTTTGTATCAGGACACCTTTCTTCTGTTTGTCATCAGTGATTTACTTCCTTTTAAATCGGGGTTGGACTGCTGGTTATCCGCTGGTTGATAACTCTTGGCTGTACTTCGTTTTTGGTCTCAGATAACCTTGAACCCCCTGAACTTCTGCCACTACTTTTCAAATCCTGGGATTATAGTTGTGTGCCCTTAGACCCTTCTTGGGTTCATTTCTTAAGTTTCTCATAACCAATACAAAGTTAGTTGTGGTCCAGTATTTATTTGAAATTGAAATGAATTGAGTATCCAACCTAATGATGATAAACATGAATTTTATATCCATATTAAAAAATTTTTGCCTTTGAGTGCCAGAAATCTCAACCTGGCTAGTCTTAAATAATAAATTTATTCTACATAATAAGAGATTCCACATCTTCAAGTTAGTGGTTAAAGTTTATCTCAAAGACTTAGTTCTTTGTATCCTTCCTCTCTACCATTGTCCATTACATAGCCCTTAAGACTTATTTCTGAATGATGAGATAACTCAGTTGATAAAGGTGACTGTCACCAAGCCTCCTGATCTGCATTCACTCCCTTGGACCCACCTGGTAGAAGGAAAAGAACTAGCTTCCACAAGTTGTCCTGTGAACACCACGGGTATATTGTATGTATGTGCTCATACATGCACATACATACATAATAATAAAAATTTAAAGAAATTATTCCACTAAGTAGTTATGATTGCTACAGTAATTGATGCAACACAAAAGTTCACATTAATAAGAAATTGACTCTGCTCTCCAACAAGTATCTCTTTGTTCCATACTGATTTTGCCCTTATTATTCTTGAGTCAGTCATCATCATCCTAGACTATCCATCTGTGAGTAGTATGATGAGAAGTCAGCTGCTATCTACCACAATTTGTCTTTTGCCTATATGGGAAGAAATTGATGATTATCTATTAAAATTTTTATTTCAGTCCCCAATATTAGATAAACATGCACACACACACACACACACACACACACCAACAAAACAAAACAAACAAACAAACCCTAAGAAATCTTAATGTAGTTAACCTTTGGATCTTTTTTCCTTTCAGATCCAGACCTTCAATGTGGATACACCATGCCAGACCGTGGAAGATTTAACAAGTGGGGTTGTGATGTCCCAGGTTCTTCAAAAGATGTAAGGATAAATTACTTGTCTTTATGTATGGTCTTATTATAATCCTTTCTTAGATTGAAAAGGATTAAAAAATTTTAAGTGTGAGAATTGGTTTTCTATCACTGACAAAATACCTAAGATGATCAATTCATATGAAAGTTTTGTTTTTGGTTTATAGTGGGGTATTTCAGCCCTGGATCAATTGTCCTATTGCTCTTGGGCCTCTGAATTGGCAGCACTATTGTGGGACCATTGGCAGAAGAAGCAACTTCCCTCACAGCAGTCAATAAGCAAATCAGGGACTGGAGAGACGGCTTAGTGGTTAAGAGCACTTTTTGCTCTTGCCTAGGACTCAGCTTTGGTTCCTGGCTCCCACATGGTGGCTCACAGCCATTGGTAACTCCAGTTCCAGAGAATCCAGTGCCGCCTTCTGGCCTTCTGGTACCAGGCATGAATATGGTACATATACATAAATTTAACGAAACATTTATATGATGAAATAAAGTATATTTTAAAAGCAGCAGCAGCAAAACAGGATGTTGTAGAGGCCCTATGAAATTCCTTCAAGGGTGACTCCTCAGTAATCTGGCTTCCTCTTAAGTAGGCCTTACTTCATAAAGGGTCCATCCACCATCTCAGCAGTCACAAGCCAGGAACCAAAATTTTACATGCACCTTTGGGGATCATTTGAGATCTAAATTATAGCAGAATGTTTGTGTGAACTTGGGTTGCGTGTGGAATGAGAACAGTAAGCAGCAATGAGATTTTGATGGTATATACTTAGGTATAGACTGCTTACAAGTTTAGTTGGAGCAGTGGTTGTTATTCCAACTTTGGTTGATAACGAGATTTGTCATTATAGGACAACCTGAGAATGCTGTCTCTTGTAGAATACCACTCCAGTCTTAGCACTGAGATCTTCCCTGATCACCAGTGTGATATAGCAATTTTCTGTTCCCTTAACTTTTTGTATTATTCTCTGAACTATATATCTTGTGTGTATTTGACGGTTTATGAAGAGCCAGGAAGCTTGTTTTCTTTCTTGCATCTTAGCAACTAAGAAGATACATAATTTTTATTGAACTGTATGAATTACCATTCCTTGCCGTTTCTTTTTATGTTTGTTTTGTTTTGCTTTTCAAGACAGGGTGTCTCTGTGTAGCCCTGGCTATCCTGGAACTGGCTCTGTAAACCAGGCTAGCCTTGAATTCCAGAGATCCATCTGCCTCTACCCTGGGTGCTGGGATTAAAATCTATGCCACCACACCTGGCAAAATCTGTGATTCTGGATGTGACTATGTACAAATGCTTAGGAGCAGTAAATAAATTGCTAATCTGAATTTGCCATTTATCTATTTTTACTTGTAATTTTCACTGTGCATATTCCTTGAATGTAGTACTATGTTACATACATACTGAACATTTTTCTCCCCTCATATCTTTCTGTCCTATAATCTGTCACTGCTCACCTTTCCATTAATTCTCTAGACAGTTTTACTTTTCTTCCATGTCACTATGTACATGACTTTACCAATGTAAAGTTTAGGACCCAAGCAAAGGAGACATATTTGCCTCTCTGATGTTGACTCAATTCATTTTCTGTAGTTGCATCCGTTTTGTTATAAATGATATGGCTTCATTATTCTTTATGCTGAAAAACAATTCCATTGTGTATATATTATCACATTTTCTTCTTTCCAGATGTTACAAGTATAATTTTTTCTTTTTTGTTTGAGGTCATAATATAATGGCATCGTTTTTCTCTTCCATTTTCTCCCTCCAAACCTTCTCATATATGTCTCCCTGATCTTTTTCATTAATTTTGTTACATTTGCTCCTGCGTATCACGCGTGCATGTGCACACTCCCACCTATATTAATAAATATAACTTGTCCAGTCTGTATAATGTTACTTGTATATATATTTTCAGGGCTGACCATTTGATACTGGATAATCAATTTATGTACAGCACATTTTCTTTACCCATGGTTGGTTCTATAACTTAGCGTATCACGTGCGCACAACCCCCCACACACACACACATGTAGAGTGCCACATACATGACATAGAGCACATGTGGAGGTCAGAGGGCAATTCTGGGGATTCTGTTCTCTCCTTCCACCATGGGGCCTGGGAATTGAACTCTGGTTGTCAGGTTTTTATAGCAAATACTTTTACTCATTGAGCCAACTCACTGGCTCTTTTTAAAGGGTTAAAAATATAAAAACCTCCTTAAGTAAAATTTAACCTTTATAACATAATAAGAAACTACTTCTAGTGTAATAATTTAAGTATGAGTATATTAAATGATCAAACTGAAAATGCAACTTTTGAACTTAGTGTTTACATTGGTTTGTATAAAGACAAAACAAAGTCTTACCTGTCTTCGGCCTCTGGTACATTAGTAACATACTGTTTTCTTTGGCACATCACACACCCACATCTTCCTTATAAATGTCTTTAATGCTACCCTATGATCGCCAAAGTGGAAACTGTTGTGTTGTTTGACATTCTAAGAACTAGCTTGGCAAGGAGACATTCTTTCCATCTTGTTGTAATAACTGTTTTCACACCAACTCCAGACATATAGAACTAAACCACAAAGTTCAGAATTCGTAGCTCTGCCCAGCCTACCTAAGGGATTATTTAAAGAACAAAATAGTTTTTCAGTTTCTATTAGAATCATGAGTTATTTTACAGATTCCAGTAAAGATAGCCTCAGAAAATTTGTAGACTTAATTTAAATTAAACAAAATAAAATATGTCTGTATTTTCTAGTGTAGGTTTTCTGACTTGTGCTCCTTGAAGGAGTCCTCAAGTCTTGCCAAAACATCTGTTGGAAGGCTTGTCTTACTGGCTGATGAGTATTTAGTTAGACAAGATAGCAAAGAATAATTATATAGATACCTTAATTGTTATGTTGAATTGGCACTGGCATACTCTGATGAGTTATTGTTTGTGATCTGCATGTCACCAAAATAGCAGATATCATTCTAACAACTTTTATATAAAGTCTTGGAGATGTTGCTTATTGAGGTCACCAGGAAAAAAACTGATAAAAATTGGTTACCTTTTAAAAATATTTTAAAATTGTTTTATTTATTACTGTTTGTATGTGTTTTGTGGGTGCATACATGCCACAATGTGCATGTGAAGTCAGGGGACAGTTTTAGAAGTCAGTTCTTTTCTTCTTAATGGCCTGAAGAGATGGCTCAGGGGTTAAGAGCACTGCTTGTTCTTCCAGAGGTCCTGAGTTCAACTCCCAGCAACCACATGGTGGCTCACAACCATCTGTAATGTAGTCTGATGCCCTCTTCTGGCCTGCAGGGATACATGCAGGGGAACACTGTACACATAACAAATAAATAAATCTTTAAAAGAAAGAAAAGAAATAGACTGAGTTCTTAGGATCAAGTTTAGGGCATCAGGTTTTCACAGCAGTGTCTTTACCCTTTGAGCCATTCCACCAGCCCAGTTACTTTTGAATACTAATAATTTGCTGTGTAATAATTTGCATAAGACTACCTTAGTTATTGCCAAAGCAATTTATAAAAGAAAACTCTTAATTGGGAGCTTGCAACAATTTCACAGGATGAATCAATGACCATCATGGTGGGGATCATGGCAGCAGGCAGGCAGACATGGCTCTGGAGAAGTAGCTGAGAGTTTAAGTCTTGGCTGCTAGTTGGAGGCAGAGACTGCCTCTGATGTAGGCTTTTGAAACCTCAAAGCTCACCCTCAGTGACACTGTCCTCCAACAAGGCCATACCTCTTAGTCCTTCCCAAACCATTCACCAATTGGTACCAAGCACTCAAACAAATAAGCCTTATGGGGACCATTCTCATTCAAACCATCACAAGGACATTTTTTTTTTTTTAATTTCCACATTGGAGACTTATGACTAGGAACTCTCCCTAAGAAAGGCCAGAATCTTAATTATTCCATTCCATGCCTGTTGTGCTGGATTACTTAAGAAAGAACCCCTACAAAGCCCTTTCCACAAACATGGATTTAGCATATCATTCATCGATCGGCCAGACGTGAGTCACTTTTAATGAATATGATCAGCATTATGCAAGAAAGATGAAGCTCCAGTACTTCATCTCCCAATGGCACCCTATTAAGGTAATGGAATACAAAGGAGTGATTTGCTTTTTCTTTTAATTCTGTGATCCTTAAATGTTAAGCCCAGTATTTTATGTAATCTGAAGCATCTTAATTACATGCAAGCATTCTAGTTTTTTGTTTTTTCAAAACCTCAGCATTAAGTAATAGTTATGGGCTATTACTGTAACATTCCTCCTTTGTATACATTAAACCATTTAAAAGAAATGAATATTCTGAGATTTAGAAAAGGAAACCCATAAGCAGAGTTAAAATAAAATGCAAAGTATCACTGCTAGCTAGCTCTACTGTTTTACAGTACTTCAAAAAGTAAAATTAGCCAGGCAGTGGTGGCACACACCTTCTTTAATCCCAGCACTTGGGAGGCAGAAGCAGGAGGATCTCTGTGAGTTCGAGGCCAGCCTGGTCTCCAGAGCAAGTGCCAGGACAGGCTCCAAAGCTACACAGAGAAACCCTGTCTCGAAAAACAAAAAAACAAAACAAAACAAAAAAAGTTCTAGAAAGCTGTAAAGAGCAAATACATTCATACTGGCCAGGTGGGCTCTGGCCAGGTCCATACCCAGGTTCCCAGGAAATGTCCCCGAATCAGGTTTTATAGCAGTTTTAAGTATTTCCCATTAGGTTCAATTGGGGCAAGTTCCAGCCTACATCCAGTCAGGGGCAAGTGGACATCCTGGCCACAAGTGATCAAGCACATCTGGTGCAGATGGGTCAAACAAGCTTGTTTAGGGAAATGAGAAACATGTGGCCTGTTATCCCCCAAAAACAACAGCCTTCAGCATTTCAGGAACTATCTGTCCTTGGGCAAGGGGCTTGCAGATCAGAGGCATATTTCTTTCATGGATCTCTATGGCATAGTATTTAAAATGTAAAATGTAACTCTGGCTCTTGCAGA